AAAAAAAAAAAAGCGCTTTGCGAAAAGGAGAAGAGAGACAGAACTGGTATCGACAAACGCTTGCTGGGCTTGTGATTGTCGTTTTTCTTCTCTTGATCTCCTGAGATATTCTCAAACTGCGCGACTCAATCGTACGCACTTTCGTTTGCCAATTGAGGTGGAGAAGACTAGTGTGTCACGACTACTGTAAGTGCTGTATGCAATGTTATTCACTGGGTGGACTCTCTGGGCGTGGGGAGAGCTTTGCGGGATGCGCATTCACCTTGCGCTTTTTGTATTGCATTCTTTTTCTTTTTCTTTTCCTTTCTCTTTCTATCTTTACTAACAATTGATTTTGGAATCTATATAGATAGGTAGTACAAGCCTATCTGCCTCGGATTGAGTGAACTCAGGCCGATTTCATTATTGACTACCCACCCCCCACTTCCGCGCGTTGGGAAAGAGCAACTGCGACAGAGACAGCTAGTCATGGCAACCGCGTCGCCCAGATCCTCGACCCCCGGGCGAGGCCAGGACCTTCCTCCCATCACCGAAAACCACAGCAACAGCACCTCCAACTCCAAGGACCAGCGCAAATCGTCTTCACTCGGTTTCCTTCGCCGCTCCAAGTCCACCGAACCACTGGGTGAACGCAAAATCTCTGGAAGCAGAACCAAGAGATCCAAAACCCAAGCTATGGAGGAGGAACGTCGCCAGAGAGAGGCCATGCCCAAGCAGCCTCCTCGTCTTCCTGACCTGTCCCCTACTCCCAGACTCGAGACCTTTGGTGGTGATGGACGTCCCGACAGCGTTGCGATGTTTTCTTCCAGGCCGTATGAGAATATTGCTGCTCCTGGAACCGCACTTAGCTCGCCTGCTCCTTCTGTCCACCCTGACCCGTATGCACGCACTGAGAGCATGACGCACCGTGGACGCTTTAGCTATGCCAGCAGTGCTGTCAGTACCTCCAATAACCCTCGCAGACTGCGTCGTCGCAAGGATCCTACGCCATACAAGTGAGTACTACGATGTTCCTGGTTGAGGTGAATTCATGCTGACCCTGTCAAGTATCCTCGTGATTGGTGCACGAAACTCCGGAAAGACCTCGTTTCTTAACTTCCTTCGCAAGTCTCTGGCCATGCCACCCCACAAACATCCCAGCCGTTTGCCGGAAGAATTTGAGGACATCCAACCTCATTCTGGCTCGAACGATGCTTTCACTTCTCACTATCTGGAAACCGAATTCGATGGAGAGCGGGTAGGGCTGACTCTGTGGGACTCTCAAGGCCTGGAGAGGAACATTGTCGACATCCAGCTTCGTGGAGTAACCAATTTCTTGGAGGGCAAATTCGAAGAAACCCTGAACGAGGAAATGAAGGTGATCCGCTCGCCAGGCGTTCGAGACACCCACATCCACTGTACCTTCCTGATCCTTGATCCCGTGCGTTTGGACACGAACATTGCTGCCGCTGAACGGGCGGCTAATGGAAAACCTAAGGGGTCTGACTCTCCTGTTGTTGGTATCCTGGACAAGTATCTTGATCTTCAGGTCCTGAAGACCGTACTGGGCAAGACCACTGTTGTGCCTGTCATCAGCAAAGCAGACACGATTACCACTGCTCATATGGCTTACCTGAGAAAGGCCGTCTGGAACAGCTTGAAGAATGCCAGCATCGATCCCCTCGAGGTTCTTACGTTGGAAGACCAGGAATATACCTCTTCGGAGAGTGCAGACGAGGAGGAAGCGACACCTGCAAATTCGCAGCACGAAGATACGCAGCCCGAGGCAGCCCCCGACGTTGAAAACCCTGATCAAGACAAGGAAGCACCTGCACCTGCGGCGTCGGAGTCGGAGTCAGAGCCAGCGCCATCGAACGAGAAGGCTGAACCCCAGAACCCACCATCCGAACGAAGTCGCAAGTCCTCTGGGTCCGAAGCGGTTGCTCGGAGTCTCCCGTTCTCGATTCTCTCGCCTGATCCGCATTCGTTGGAGGCCGGCGATGAACCCGTGGGCCGCAGGTTCGCCTGGGGATTCGCTGACCCGTACAACCCCGAGCACTGCGATTTCGTCAAGCTGAAGAACCACGTCTTTAATGACTGGCGAACGGAACTCCGGGAGGCTAGCCGTGTGATCTGGTACGAGAACTGGAGAACCAGCCGGCTGAACCGCAATGGTATCCATACCGCTCCTCCTCCGCGGAAGATGTATGGCGGACGAATGGGCCCATTTGACGGGCGTCGGACCCGGTAAACGCCTGCAGAATAGCAGTCATTGTTATTACGGACAAGCTTTTGCCCCGGCCGTGAGCCTACTGTTCTCGTTGAACTTGGGTTCTCCGGTTTCGATCTACAACCCGATCCGTAAAATGAACAGTTCTTCACCTTGTTCCATTCTTATCATTTTCCGTGGTTCATGTTCTTCTCTCCTGAAAAAGGATAATGCCTCCAAACTCGCTATCCACCAAAGACGCATAGATACCCATCAGCCTTTCCTTGCGCGTCATGCTTGAGCGTTCATATTGTGGCAGCAGTTTTCCGATGCAGTTCGTTACTTGGAATTTTTGTTTTATTTTATTTTATTTTTTTTTTTTTGCCCATCGAAGCATTGCTGACCGTTTTTCTTGTCTTAATTCCCCCTGCTTTTACGTTCTACATTCTTCACTCTCCTTATACCAATTTCCGTTTTCATTTCTAGCTATGCTGGATGGTCATTTTATATGTTGTTCCGCAAGACCTTCCTGTGACGAATGACCTTGTACATCCGAGTTTGGTGGAATGCTGCTTGGGCTGTATGGACTTGGTTTATTCCTCTTCTTTTCTTTTTTGTTCGGAATGTCTGTATTCTTGATTCCCATAGTGAAATAGCAGTTCCACAGGCTGGTATCTCGTGGTATCGCCTCTATGAACGTATGCCATTTGTCATTCTCCGTGATTCCCGTGATTGTAACACCAAACTGTTCCGTGACTCATCTGATAGTATTCATGTGCGTCTCTGCGACATCAGGGCTAGTCTGCTGCGCCCGACCAGCTTCCCCGACCAATAACAACCCCATTAAAGGCTCCAGCCGCATCTAGACGCCCCAAAGCTGTACAATTCAGCTGGCAATTCACCGATTATGATTATCTCTGCTGTTTGTGAATGAGTTGCCGCTGCAGAGACGGCAGCCCCGCAAGCCCCGAGTTTAACGCTAGAAGCGATGATCCACGACCAGCCTCGCCGAGAGAGCAAACATAACTGAACCTCTTTTCCTTTTTCAAAAATTTCTCTTTCTCTTTCCTCTTAAATTGATCTCTAACCTCTTCTACTTTGGACTATCTGTTGCTCTATCACTCTTTTGCGTGCTCTTTTAACCCGCCCCTCCACTAAACAAACCGAGTGTCGGTATGTCACTCCAGGTCAACGACCCATGGTCGCGCGGCCGGTCCAGCAGCCGAACCCGCGAACGTTCCAAGTCTCGCGACGCCCGAAGCCGCAGTCGAGTATCCTCCGCCGTTCCACGGACCAGCAAATCTTCCCTAGCTTCCTTAGACGGCAACCCACCACGGTCCCAATCGCGCGGTCCCCGCAGCAGCAGAGCACCCAGCGCCGTGCGTGGCCACCGCAGCAAGTCGCGGCCGCGGTACGATATCCCAGATACTGAGGGTGGAGATGGAGGGAACGCGAGTGATTATTACCGACGGGGCACGAGTCGACGGCCTCGTCGGGAATATTATCATTCGGGTGATGAGGGTGATTATGGGAAAGAGGAAGCGAGCTATTATCTGAAGTCTACGCCTAGCACTGGTTCCAAGTTTGATAAGAAGGCTGAGGAATCGGATGATTCGTCTGTGGACGACAGATTGGCGTATGGCGATATGCCCGGGGAGAGAAAGAAGACGAATAGACGGTCGAAGTTTTGGTCTTCACTCCGCGACTCGGCGACCGAGTTAGCACAGCAGGCTGTTGCGGCGCAAGCTGCGCAGAATAAACCCGAATCGCCAAAGCCCAATCTGCCACCGCGTCCTGGATCGCAGCCGCAGCCAGAAGCCCCGGGTCCTGGCTATGCTCGACCAGAGCCGTTCAAGTACGGGTATGGGAGCCCGCAGCAGCACAACTACCCCACGTATCCGCCAACGTCGTCTGCGATGCCGTCGAATTGGGCGCCTATTCCGGAGTGTGAGATGCCGGGGTACGTGCCGCCATCGTCGCAGGGTGAAGGGCAGTCTTCTATGCCTGGTGCGTTCCCGCCTCCTGAGACGTCGCAGCCGGCTTCGACGGGGCCTCCTATGCCGCAGTATGCGAATCCAGCGCCGTACTCGAGTGCCTATGTGCCTCACAGCGCGCATCACAGTGCGCATCCGGTTTATTCACCTACGACGGGCGTGTATAATCCGGGTTCTTATGCGCCAGCTCCTCATACTTCATCGGGGGAGGGCCCTCCGCGGCCGGCGTATGCGAATCTTCCGCCGTTCCAGTACGCGCAGATTGACCCTAGTATAAGGTATGGTTCGAAGAACTCATCGAGGCCATTTAGCTATCCTGCGGTGCCGCAGCCGTCCAGGCCGCCCGCTGCTAGCCCGAACCAGCATCGTCCTGCACCTCCACCGGTTGCGCCTGCACCACCAGCTTCACGACCGCCTGCAGCGTCTGCACCGCCGGCACCAGCTGCGCCAACTCCTCCACCGAAGCGTCCCGCGAAGCCTCAGATTTCCGTGTCGACACAGGCTGCTCCTACGACTAGCAATAACCATCACTATGTGGAAATCACGCCGGGAGGACGGACCCGCCCACCCAGTAACTCAGTGTCGTCCGCCAATCTTACAGTTGAGAGACCAGATCCGAGTCATCGACCGGCCAGTCCTCTGCAAGAGCCCTACCAGGGTACGTACCAGACTATCTCGCCCATGCCATCGCCCATAGTCATTCCTGCTAGGCCAGAAG